TTTTTTTTTTTTTTTTTTTTTGTCTCTATGTTCATCAGGCCAGTTGGCCTACAATTTTCTTTGCTTGTAACGTCCTTGTCTGGCTTAAGGATAAGGGTCTTGTTGGCCTCATAGGAAGATTTTGGAAGTGTTTGTGGGACGAGTTTTAAAAGGATCGGTAGCAGTGCTTGCTTCTTTACCATTTGACCATGTCCATAGGGAAGCTGTCCAGTCTTGGGCTTTTCTGGGTTGGAGACTTTTATTATTCTGCCTCCCTACTCATTGCTAATCTGTTCAGGTTTTCTCTTTCTTCCTGATTCAGTCTTGATGGGTTATATGTTTGTAAGAATTCTTTCATATCTTCTAGCTCCACCAATTTGTTGGTATATGATTGTTTACATGTAGTTTCTTAAAATCCAATGCATTTCCCTGTTATCAGTGTACTGTCTTCTTTGTGTCTTCTTTTTCTTCCTCAGTATAGCTAAATATTTGCAAATCTTGTTTCTTAAAAAAACAGCTCTTAGTTTTGTCGATCTGATCTTTTCTATTTTTTTGGTCTATATTTTATTTATTACTGTTAGTTTGTTATTTCCTTACTTCTGCTCACTGTGGGCACAGTCTTGTCTTTTTTAGGATCTTAATTTAAAAATGCACATGCAGCAGGCAGAGGCTCACCTGCCTAGGGTACCCTGGGGTTTTAGTCTAATGCTCTGCATGGCCTTGAGCAGACAGAATTTACTCCACCACCACCAAAATTTGTGATTGACTGATTGATTGATTGATTTGGTACCAGGGATAGAACTCGGATCCTTGCACTTGTGAGGCAGGCAGCAGAACCACTGAGCTAAATCCCCAGCCCCAAAATTGGATTTAATCCAAAGCCTGTCACCTATCAGTGCTGTGAGCTTATACATTCTTTGCAAGGAAATCAAACATCCCAGGTACTGTTTGAGTATTTCCATTAGCAGTGAGACCTGTTTCATTCCAGAGAAACGTTTAATCATCCCAAATTGGCACTGTGCTCACAAGACAGCAAAGCACCCCCAGTCCAGGAGAGAGAACTGATTGCTTCTGCTGCAGAGTCAGTATGTGTCATCCACATACCCGGCTCCCTCCCTGTTCCTCTCCTGGTCATTATCCCCTCTCTCTCACCACCTTCTTCTACCACTTTCTTTTCTCTTTGGTTCCTGTTTTCCTCACTGCATGGGGGTTTAAACTTTATAAACAGCAGTGGCCAAGCCAGATGGCACCTCTTCCCTGTCAAGGTGAAAACCCTCCTCTTGGAGCTCTCTGTGACTTCCTGGGTCCCAGCTGTGTTCCATCATACAGGGCCATGGTCATTTCACTGCCATGCTCTATGGGCCTCCTGGACGGGGCAGTGGGCCAGACCCTGGCCTTTAGGTCAGGCTTCTGTTTTGTACCTGACTGAGGACCCCAGGGACATGTGGCCTGCACAGGTTCAGATGCGCCCAGAGTCCCTGCAAAGCTGGGAGGGCACTGGGGCTCAGGCCAGGTCACCCCCACTATCAGTGTCCTTGTCACCCAGGACTTGCAGCTCAGGGTTATGAGTGTCCCAGTAGGGCACGCTCTCCTTCTACCTTGTGCTGAGCCTGGGCGTGGTGTCCCACATAGGATGAGTGCTGGGAGGTATGACTGTATGCTTATCCTTTTTTTCTTCTCAATACGTCTCCTTTTTAAAAAAAAATTATAATTATTTTTAGCCTTGATACAGGGTCTCACCAAATCACTAACTTACCCAGGCTGATCTCAAACTTGAAGTCCTCCTGCCTCCGCTTCCCAGACTACTGGGATTACAGGCATGTACCTCCACACCCAGGTGGATACTCAATTTCAATGTAGATTTCATCCTAGGAACAGGGGCAAAAATATGTGCTTTCTTTTATTGGAGATGAACAGATCAGTCTCATGGTGTATAGAGAAAAGTTGCCATGGGCCAGGGATTTAGCTCAGTGGCACTGTGCCTACCTTGCAAGCACAAGGCCTTGAGTTGATCCCAGGTACTGTAAAAAGAAAAAGAGAGAGAAAAGAAAAGCGGCCTTGTGTGTCCATAGCCAAGCTCTTCACGTCCTGTCATTGCAGACCCAGTGACACCTCCCCCAGCACCGACACCGGCAGAGCTCAAGTAGACTGGCAGTGATGTCTGGGGTCACCTTCCCCGGACCGCCTGCGCGATGACGTCACAGATGTCCCAGCCCACCGGGCCCATTCCCAAGGCTCCTGGAACGGAGATCCCCCGCGGACTGTGGTCTCCCATCAGCTTTGACGCCCGCACTGCGCAGGCGCCCTTGCGTTTCTCCCCGAGACTCTGAACACGCGGTCCCCGCCGTCCTCTGCTTCGCTGGCCGCGATGTCCCCGTGCTGGGGACCAGCTCCTTCTTCCCGTGCTCCTCTGAACCAGAAAAACCCAGAACAAGCTTCAAGCCTCTCCCACCAGTTGTCCTGAAACCTCTGTAGAAATGATTTTTTCTGGTGCAAAAAAATAATCGATTTTAGAATATGGGGATAAAGTTTATATTAAAGAAAGATTTTATTATGACTTGAAGTTTTAAACATTGAATATACAATAAAACATTGTAACATTTGCTAGTTTTACATTTTTTTTTTGCTAATACTTTTTAAAAGTCCAGACTATTAAACACTTATTTTTTGTCTTTTCAGTAAAAATACATTGATTTTTAGTACTTAATTTGGTAGGCTTTTCACAAAGTTTTTAATCATCAGACTGAAGAACGCTCTTATTTTATAAAGGTTATTATGGTTTCTCAATAAGCACTTTGCCTTACATGTAGTTTCATATTCTGTATGTTTAATTCCTTAATAAAATAACACTTTTTAATAAGGAAGCTTTTAGGAAGACAAATGTGACGACAGATATTTTAGCTTCTTAAACTTATCATGCACACACTCACCTAAAGCTTAAGTTCCAGATTAGTTCTTTAACTGAGATCCATAGCTGAGCACTTATAGATACACTGTTTAATTACACTTAGACTATTATGGGAAATGAATGCAATAGGTACTTAACTTGAATGGCTGTCTGTACTGAATAAAAGCAATACACCACACAGCAAGTTTTCCCCTCTTTTCTCCCTTTCCCTGCTCTTCCTTCCTCTGCCTAATTCCTACCTCATCTGTCCGCAATCCCATCTCAATGAAACATTCATGAGGAATTTGGAACAACAGCGTGTAGAACTCTTTAATTCTTTTTTAAAAGGTTATCATAGCAACAGAAACCTGTGGTTTATGGGAAGGACAGACTTTATAGTAAGAATCCGTGATCAAATCTTGGCTTCACCTCGTGTAGCCAGGATCAAAAAAAAAAAAAAAAAATCCATCCTGTAGTTAATTTTCCAGTTGGTAAAATGCAACACAGATATGATGAAAGCAGAAAACTCACCATTCCATCCAGTATTTTTTTTAAAGAAGTAACTTAGTTCTAAAATTAAACACAGTGCAAGATCATACTAAATATGAATTGTTAGGAGCAGCAAAATTTTATAAAATGAACTGTATGTCTTTTATATGTGCAAGGACATGTTGTCATGGCTGTGTGACACACAGACACTCCCCTCAAGGAGTCTGATATTTCTGTAGAGGGCATTTAGCTGTTCTAACTCACCACACCCCTTAATTAGCTTAGAGCAAAGAGGGGAAGCCCCTTTCCTTAAAGAGCAATGGAGATAAGAAGCCCATCACCCCTTGGGAGCAAAGCAGCAGAACTGGAGGAAAGTGGGGTACAGGAGAGGCTTTAAGAGAAGCCCAGCAGGGCCCACAGTCAGCCCCAAAGCAAATGGGAAGAAAGCAAACTCCTTCCCTGGAAGCAGCTGAAGCAGCAGGAGGGTGAGGGCTCCCCAGGTCTTCAGAGGTCACCCTACCTGTGCCTTGCAGAGTGGCAGGAAGCCCCAGGCTCCACCAGTGAATTCCAAGAAGTGGTTAGGGAGAAGCCCCAGGGTCCGGGACTGCATCAGAGGCAGAAGCAGAGGTAGTCTTTCCCAACTTATTTCTGAGGCCAAAGGCCTAAATTAGACACAGACATTAAAGAGGAGAAAGATACAGAACAAAAAATACTTGGTTTTCAAAAGAGAATATCTACAAAACACTTCAAGCCAACATAATACCTCATGATGAGAATCGAAGCTATCCTGCTAAGAGCAGGAATAAAGCAAGGATGTACCCTTTATTGCTCCTTTTCAGCACTGTCTGGAAGTCCTGATGAATGACATAAGATAAGCAATAAAAGGTAAGGAGACCAGGCCGGTGCTATGGTCTGCGTGTCTGTGTCTTTGCCGGAAATCTATCTCTGGAAGCCAAGCTCCTATGATGGCATTAGGAGGCGGGGCCTCTGGGAAGTGAAGGGAAATGAACTCCTGACTTGCAAAGCTAATACAAAAGTACAAAGATAGGCCAGGGGTTTAGCTCAGCAGTTCGGTGGCCTGCCTTGCAAGCAAAAGGACCTGAGTTCAATCCCCAGTACCAAAACAAAAACAAAAACAAAAACAAAAAAAACAAAGATAATATATAATATAGAAAGAAAAGAAAGCCACCCAATCCCGGGCCTGGGACTTCCTTGTACAAAGTACAAAGATAGGCCAGGGGTTTAGCTCAGCAGTTCGGTGGCCTGCCTTGCAAGCAAAAGGACCTGAGTTCAATCCCCAGTACCAAAACAAAAACAAAAACAAAAACAAAAAAAACAAAGATAATATATAATATAGAAAGAAAAGAAAGCCACCCAATCCCGGGCCTGGGACTTCCTATGCCCCAGAGCTGAAGAAACAAACTGTGGGTGCCTGTAGCTACTACTTTATGGAATTTTTTAAAACAGCCTGAACAGATTAAGGTAGACAGGAAGACAAGTATGGTCATTCCCGGGTGACACAGTGGTCTATGTAGAAAAATCAAAGAATTGACAAAGAAAGAAATGAAATTCTTAGAACTAGTAAACAGTTATAGCAAGGTTGAAGAGTACAAAGCTAATACACAAAAATACAAAGATAGGCCAGGGCTTTAGCTCAGCGGTTCGGTGACCTGCCTTGCAAGCACAAGGACCCGGGTTCAATCCCCAGTACCAAAACAAAAACAAAGATAATATATAATATATTTTTATAAATACAAAGTTCCTATACAAAGCTACAGGATACAAAGCTAATATACTTGCTTATATACCAAAAACAAACAAATGGAGTTTGGAATTTAACCACAATATTATATACAAGAGCAGCCTAAAAATGAAACCTTTAGGTATACGTCTAACAAAACATGTACAGGACCACATGAGGAAAACAGTATTCTGATGAGAGGAATTGAAGCAGAACTAAATAAATGGAAAAATGTTCCCCATTCATAGATAAGAAGTTGGCAGAAAATAGTGTCAAGATGTCAGTTTTTCTCAGCTTGATCTATAGATCCAACAAAATTGCAATGATATTGCAGCAAGTTGTTTTGTGGATGTGGACCAAGTGAGTAATGGAAGCTAAGGGTTCTGAAGAGGAAAAAAACAGAGGTACAGGACCCACACTGCCCAAACCTGAGTGAGATTCACTGTGACTTGGTAGCAGTCCTGACCTCCTGTTATTGGTAAAGGAAAACAAAACACCAGCGCCTGTAAATGGACCCCAAAATACAAACATCTGATCCTCAACACAGGAGAAGAGGAGGTCAATGAAGAGAGCAGTCTTTCTAAAGATGGTACAGTAATAACATTCCCAGGCAATCAAGAAAGTATAGACACCAGCACTGTTCACAGCAATTTACTCAAAAAAGTCGCAGTAAAACATAAAACTACACTGCCCCGAAGGTCACATAGAAGAAAATCCAGGAGATCTTGATTTTGGTGATGACATTTTAAGCCCAGCACCAAAGGTGTGGCTCACAGGAGAAAGAATTGGTCAGTAGGGCCTTACAGAAATCACATTTCTGCTCCATTAAAGACTTTCTCGGGAGACTGAAAAGACAAGCCGCAAAGTAGGAGGAAATACTTGCAAAAGAAATGTTGAGGAAAGAAGTGATGTCCCAAACACATGAAGAGTCCTTAAAAGTCAGCACAAGAAAACAAGCAGCCTGATATAAGAATGACTTTAGCGGGCACCACACCAAAGAAGACACTCACTCAGAGGGATGGATGTACAGGTGTGAACGGACCCTACTGGTCCTCGTCAGTGAAATGCGAATTGAAACAGCAATGAGACACAGTCAGATAGTGTCACATACCTACTCGTCCTGGCCGAAGTCCAGGCACCGATGGCGCCAACACTCAAGGGGCTGTGGGTCAACAGGAGTCTCATTCGTTGCGGGGTTAGGCGGTGGGGAGGGGAGGCAGACTGACTGCAGGGGTCTCCGGCAATGGGCGCCCATCGTGGGGGCTCGAACCTGCTCAGTGAAGCTACACAGAATAAAGAGGAAAAAAGAAAAAGCAAAGAATCGACGACACAGTGCACCTCGCATTAAGGTGCAGGAGAAGCACAAAATTCCCCCTCCCCAAAAGAGGCCCGGCACGGAGTAAAGAGAGTCAGCTGGGACTAAAACCCGGGGTAAGTGCTTTCAGCCCAGCCTGCAGGGTAGAAACAAACTCTGCAAAAGATAGTTAAATAGGATCGCCATTTTTCACAAACAAGAACTTTTGATATGCAACTTAAGGAGCCTGTGAAACAAAGAAGCTGAACAAAGTCAGTTTTGCGGCATTGGGAACAAGGGAGCCTGGTAGCTGCTCAAGCTTCTGTTCCTCCGCAATCAGCCGCCAGTGAGAACGCTTCAGTTGTGGTCTTAGAACAACTGCTTGCCAGATCTGCTGTCCTTCACATAGCGGACTTGCCTCTCTCGGAAAATGGTTCTGCCGCCCTGTCTTGCAAAGGGCAAGGTCCGAATTCAATCCCTGGTACCCCCCCAAAAAAGAAAAAAAAAAAGTGTGACATCGTTACAGGCAAATCCCGTGGCTTCCCCTCCGGAGGAGGTCCAGCTGTCTCGCTCCGCTTGGGCTGCTAAGATCACAGGTGCGAGGAGGTGGGAGGAAAAGTATGAGAAGTGCTTGGCTTTAGTGCAACGGTAAGTGCTGTGGTCAGCCTCAGAGAGGGTGCAACAGGGCTTGGACTCAGCTTGGAAAGAGCTCAAAAGGGAAAATAAATCTTCGATGGACCGAAAACAGGTGGGAAAAGCTCTGAAAAGCACACAGCAAAATATAGAGAAAAAACCACTCCTGGCTTTAAGAGCCGGAAGGCCAGAGCTGCGTTATCAGCCTGATGCTGCCTGCAAACGTCTGGAATCCAAAACGAAGCCAGAGAAACTGCAACTGTGCTCTTGCAGACATCAGGAGATTTTGCGAGAGAAATCAAGTTACAAATTTCAGCTGATTGATAAATGTATCTTTGTTTCAATTTGAGCTGATGTCTAATTGGTGTGCTTAAAATTTGTCTTGTGCATTGAAAATTCTTGAATTGTGATTTTAGGGTTAACTTGCTCTTTTCTGTATTTTGTTGCTGAAGGACTCAAGATTACTACTGTTCTATTTGCATCCAGTCAAATTTTAAAATGTAACAATCTGAGAACAGAAAAAAAGGGACACTTTAAAATTTTAACAGCTGAAGACAAGTCTGTTATAGAAGGTCATAGTAAGACAGAGCAAAAATACTAAGAAGGCTATAAGTAGAAGAGATATACTTTTTTTTTGAGAGATCCGATAAGAGACTTTATTCAGCAGAGCAGAACAGAGAGAAAGAGAGAGAGTGCGAAGAGATATACTTTTGACATGAAAGGATTTTGTGTGTTTGTCTTATTCGAAGGATAAAGAGAGAGATACAAGACCAGAAGGCCGAGGCACATTGGGGTGTGTGGAAGTGATTTATCAAGGAAATATGTATGTTTGCTTGTTGGTTTCAAATTTGTTATAAAAGCTTTCCATTTACCGGCATAAAGAGACTTACATCAATGAATATCACTTTAATATGTTATTATAATATGTTTACATTGGTTGTCATCAAAGGGTTGAGTTCTAACTCTGTTATTGTGATATGTTTACACTGGTCATCTTCAAAAGATTATATTTTCTGTGAGAGAAACAACAAGGTTTTATTGAAAAGATGCTTTTGATACTAAATTAAATTAAAGGGCACAATGTTTCATATATATAATTACAGTAGTTATTATTGTTAATTTTCTGATGTCCTAAATGAATCTATGCTTTCTGACTGTACAGGTTTTCTAATATGTTGTTTGCGGTAATCACCTCCTTTTGATTCAGGTATTCACCTTTCTCTTATACTTCAGCTTCTTATGATAACAGGTGCACTTACAGGCTGATGCATGTTCTTTGGTGGCATCCTATCAAAGGGTAACAATTTAGATGAGAAATTTTTGTATTTTTGGAGGAGAATGAGCTCATTTAACAATTTTTACTAAGATGGACATTTAACTGTGTTACAAAGATAATGCCATCGTGATTGTCGTGCCTAAATATTATGTGTGGTTCTTGAATTGAAGCTGTTTTTCTGTTAACATTTTACAGGAGTTCAACTACTAGAACAACCATGATTGATAAAAAATAAGTCTTCTAACTATATTTTATATTTCAAAGTGCTTGCTATCCAGATAAAATTATAACAATTAAGTTCACTATTCCCATTGCAATGCTAATGTTATTGATCTTGTTTTCTGGGTGTTCAACAACTAAAGTTTAGAGACCAGAACTAGCAAGGTAACTGGGATAAGAAGACAGCCAGTATTTTGGCCCTGGCCCTTCAAGGTCTGCAAACAACCTGGGACATGAAAAACAAAACTGCCTGAAGATCCTACAGCTTTGGTAAGTCACCCAACCTCCTGAGCTGGGAGATTGTTGGACATCAAAAATAAAAGTCAATAGTGTACCAAAGGAGTGTCACTTGTAGGGGCAAATCTCCCATGCTTTCACAGAAAGTAACTGTCATGATCAGGAGTGTGCACTAACTGGAAGTCAAGACAGTAGTAGTTGCCAACTAGATTTTTATATATTTTATATATGTCACACATCAAACATGTTAATTCATACCCACCAGTTGCCACTACCTGTACCTGCCCAAGTCCGAGGAGTGCGACTTTGTTTCCCTTTTCCTGATGATTGTGGTGTTTGATCCGGTTGCCTCCTCCTCGATCCGGGGGTCCTCTCCAGGCAGGCGTCCAATGTCTCGCCCGAGGTCTCCTCCGAGATCTCATCTGGCAGGTTGCCATGGAGCTGGATTGGTCACCAAGTGGGATGAGCTGGTCTTCTGCACTCTCTCTTTTATACCATTCTAACTGGGGGTCTGTGGCACTGGTTTGGGTTTTATCACTTCACACATATGGGGCTGTTTGAGTAGATATCGGGGTTACACACACATTTCACTCTTGGGGGTTACATAGCAGGTTTCACACATTGAATCTGTTGCATTAGACATCACTCTTGGGGGTTATACACAGGTTTCACGTTAAGTCACTCTGGGGGGTTACATTAGTTCAGTCTTGGGAGGTTTCATTCTCCCTCCTTGGGAACACATGGACACATTGCTCTTCGCATTGACATGTGCTCTCTACAGTAACATGGTCAAGCAAGGCTGACACATCCTGATGGCTGACACTGACAGGAGCTGAGAAGCTCTGTACAGGCTTCAAAGTAATGCCTGTGGAGAACTAATTGACCTCGACAGACAGCAAGAGGTTAATTCTAATTAGTATAGGTCTCGCCTTACCTTGGTCTTAAACACCCAGTAGAAAAGTATAATCCAAAATGTATGAAGTCAAGACCATAGTAATAAAGCTGTACTTAAGAAAGGGCTCCAATTGCTGACCCCTACTGGCAGTTTCCAACTACACTGCTGACTCACCCCTGTTATGGGTCAATAGAAAAAAACCATGGTGGGCTGGGGATTTAGTTCAGTGGTGCCGCTGCCTGCCTTGTAAGTGCAAGGTCCTGAGTTTAATCCCCGGTACTAAAAGAAAAAAAACTATGGTAAAATCTGTAGACCTCAACAAGAGTTTTTCAATTTTTAGCTAAAATTGTTTTTAAAAATTATTACATTTTTAGTCTTTTTTACAAGTAACACTACAAGAAAAATTGTGGCAAATATCAGACTTATAGGGGCCGGGGATTTATCTCAGTGGTTTTGCTGCCTGCCTCGCAGGCTCAAGGACCCAAGTTTGATCCCCAGTACCCCCCTAAAAAATTGGACTTATAGATAACCTCCATTAGTAAAAGGGTCTAAGAGCCTTTTTTAGTCCTTTAAAAACAGCTTAACAAATGTGCTAGATGCTTTTTCAACCAAAATCTACCAGATTGACTTTATAAAGAGTTTATAATTGCTAAATTACAATTTTTATTTAAGGCCTATTAAATTAGCTCTCTGAAGAGAGCCCCTAACTGCAGTCTTCCCTGCATCCAACCTTCTCAGCTCAAAGCAGTTGGATTGAAACTCCGCCCTTTCTCCCCTGGCTGCAGCAGGAGATGCTCTTCATAAAGGAGATTGTTATACACAGCGGGGTCAGTTGGATACCGTGTAAGTCCTAGTGACACAGGTCCATGGGGTAACTCACCAGACAAACCACTGTTGAGTGCACTCACCTTTCCCTAGGGACACAATTACATGGACAAAAGGGTGGGGTGGGTACAGCTGTCTCCACAAGCTCAATCAGATCTTGTTACTTTCATTTTGGGTTTTTGGGATCCACTTGTGAAAGGTAAATATGTGTCCAGATGGATCTACAAACATGTCTTGGACCCTCGTGTTGTCTGAGTGTGTGCTTGCTGAGGGGTGATTGGCTGTGTTAATAACACAGGGGCCAGAGGATGCTTATTTTTCAACAGAAAATGATAAGATGCTGTGGCCATCATCCCAAAATGCACCGCCATGGACCAAGATGGATTTGCTGCAAGCATCAGGACATGACACCCTGCTGAGAGCCACACAAAGGCTGCATCAGAGCAACTCCCTCACTGGCTACAGCCCTGGGACCTGCAAGGATCAGCAGACCTGATGCAGCTCCCTTTCCAAACAGAGAAGGGGGCGATGCAGAGGCTGTAATATCGATGATGCCCAAGGCAGTCTGTGAAGAGTAAACCCCACAATTGGATGTTTATAGAAGCAAGTCTGGCTGAACAAAGCCTATGTGCTGAGGTCAGAGTAACACACACCTAGATTCCATTCCCACAACTAAAACCTTCAGGCTAGAAGGACAATGTTCTAATTACAATCATATATTTTGTCTATTCTGTTCCTAATTTGAGAATGCTGTGTCTTGTCCTTTATGTGCCTTGTTTACATTAATTTCCATAGAAACCACATATCACCTTTGCCTCAGTTGATTGCAAATAAAAGTCGGTGCCTGGGACTGTCCAGCATCTTTGTCAGTTATGCCAGCATTGGTCATTCTGGCCCTGCTTTCTCTCTTAGTTCTGTCTCTCAGCGTATTCTTTTCTCAGGCCTGTGTCACACACTGGGCAGGTGGGGACTGGAACCTGACTGCAGGGGTCTCTGGCAGCAGAGGGGCAACAGTTCACGGCAGCAGAAGCAGCAAAGAGCAGTAGGAGGATGTTGCAGAGGAGAAACAATTAATGGTGCCCATAGGCAGCAAAAACAACCAGGCACCTTAACAGGGCCTTTCAGCTCCTTGTGCCCCATCCAGACCACCAGGATTAGGGTGGTGTCAAACCACTCACTCACGAGGTTTAGTAATCACATGCCTTAAACTGTGGTCTAAACAATGGGCTATTGTAAAGAGCTGAAAGATACAATGAACTCTCCAGTCATGGAATACCATGTTGGAACCTCAGGCTCATAGTCCCAAGTGGGAGAGGCCAATGCGAGAAGGTGACATTCTGTGTCACCCCAGCTGTGGGACCTGTGGGGAAACATAAAATGACCGAGATGGTAAAATGACCTGTGATGCCTGGGACCAGGGGAGGAGAGTGCACAGGGAGCTGAGACTGTTCTGCATCTTTCTAGAGCTGTGGACACAGTAATGGCGCACCAGTGTAGGGCCGTGAGCCATGAGGAGTTTACCATTTCTGTTTGGCACAGGAACTTCCTGTACTTTCTGTTCAATTTTGCTGTGAACCCACAGCTGTAAAAAAATCTATCAAAAATGAAACAGAGTCATCTAGGTGTGGTGGTCTGTGCTCTAATCCCTGCATTCTCAGAGGCTGAGTCAGGAGGATTGTAAATTTTCACAAAGTCTGGGTAACAGAGGGGCTTAGCAAGACCCTGAAGAACAAGTAAGCAAGGAAGGAAGGAAGGAAGGCAGGAAGGAAGGAAGGAAGGAAGGAAGGAAGGAAGGAAGGAAGAGGTGTGTAGATGTAGTTCAGTGCAAAGGCCCTGGGCTCAATCCCCAGGGCTGCAAAGGAAAATTAAAAAAGGAGAAAAAAGAAAAAAAAATCCAAAACAATTCAATTAGAAATGTTCAATTAGAACATTTCACAAAAAGCATATGGAATACATCAGTGCTGCACATGGAAAGATATCAGCCATCAGATAGCAAATTTAAACCTCAATGAGGGCCGGGTATTTAGCTCAGTGGTTCTACCACCTGCCTTGCAAACGCAAGGGTCTGGAGTTTGATCCCCAGTCCAGAGAGAGAGAGAGAGAGAGTGCTCCTGAGCTCCTGAGAGGCAGGAGGGGTTCCAAAAGTGTGCTCCCACTGAGGTTCTTTGTCTCCAGGAAAATTGCCTCCAGTCAAACTATAATCAAACCTGTAGAGTTCCAGGTTCAGTTGCTTAGTCAATACAGATCTAATAGAAACAGGGTGTGCAGCACACAGGTGTGTGTGTGTGTGTGTGTGTGTGTGTGTAATCCAAGAGACTGGAGAAACACACAGACTACAACAGGAGGACTTGATTTCAAGTTTAAAGTGTGCACTTGCTCAACAGACTCCTGTCCAAAGGAAGAGCATTGAACAGTGAAGTTTCAGCTTGTATATGTTTTTGTTGAAGTGAGTTTACCGGAATAGGAAAAGGGCTGACAGTTTTATAACCGCCTTGAAAGAAGACAGAGTCTTATGAATCACATGAGAACAGGGTGTCATAAACTTTGTTTATAGGATATAGTTGTCAATTTTATCTGTACCAGAACAATGAGTTACAGCTTCAGGGAAGTGGAGGAGGTGGGGAGAACTGCCCAAGGCTGGGAAGGACTTGTTTTTCTTCAAGTTCTGCTTTCAGGGGCATAGCATGGAGAGGAACAAAGGTGTTTCTGGAAGGAGTGGAAGGAAGGGCACTGGTGTTCTGGTCATTTATCTAGGTGTTTCCTACATTGTTTCTGTGTACTCACTACAGTGTTTCTCTGTGTTTGGTACATTGTTTCTCTATGTTGGATACATTATTTCTCTGTATTGGTTACATTGTTTTTATGTTTGTTACATTGTCTAGGCTGTTGGGCTAGATGGTGGTAGTCACAGGACAGCTTTGGCCCCACGTTTATGTCTGGGAGGTTGGGACCTGCCCATCCTGTCTCCATCTTGGGACCATCTTGCCACAGGCCTGGTTTCCTCATCTCACTTCTGACCATCTTGGGCCTCCTCCCTTTTGAACTGCCGCTCATCCCATTCCTTTCTCCTGCAAGTTCAAATCCGGGGCCCTTATCTCAGGAATCCTTTACTTTCTGACCTCACCTTGGGGTGAGTGGCTGTCCCAGACAGGTGGCCAGGGAATTCCATGCCCCATTAGTGTGCCCCAGGCCCCAGGGGCGGAGCCTGTGCTGCAGAGTGGACTTGCCAGGGTCCCAGGGGAGTGTGCCTGAGTGACTGTGTGGGATGCGGAAAGGGATGCTGTGCCCTTCTGAAGTAGACAGAGCTGTCTTCTCCCCTGGCTTCTTTTGACCATAGCAATGCAGCTGTGACTCAGCACAGCAGCCTCAGAGGGACCTGATGTTCTCCTGTCCCTTGTTCCTGGGGTGCCTGCCTCTGGGGGGGGGTGGAGCTCTAGAAAGCCACACAATCCCTGCATGCATGGTGGGGCAGCTGGCACCAGGAACCAGGGTGAGGCTGTATTGGGGAGAAGCAGCTCCTGGCTCCAGGAGGAACTCAGGTCCTGTCATTCCCTGGTGTGGTCTGGTCTTCCCCAAGCCCCACCCCTCGGGCCTGGGCCAGTTCCCCAGCCCTGGGATATGCCTGCCAGTGCTTGGTCCCTCCCTGGCTGCTGCTGAGGTGGCTCTGGGTGAGGTGGGTGGCAGACAGAGATGACACAGTGAGGCTTAGAAATGGTGCGCTTCGGTTTGGTCCCCAGCCTGTCCCTTCTGCAGAGGTAACATGACAAAATGAGCCTCTGGCGCTCATTTGATTTCGGGGGTTGCTTACAGCTTCTTAGAAATGGCACAAAAAGTCCTCAGTTTCCTCAGGAGTGGGGGAAAGTGGGCAGGGCAGCTCAGCTTCCCGGGAACCCGGCTCCGGGAGGCAGCCGGGGAGGACATCTAGGTTTCCTTTGGTCCCTCCACTCACCGGTCCAGGCGCCACTCACGGAAGCAGACAAAGGCCACTTGTGGGAAGGGCACCGCGGGTCAGGGAATGAGCTAGTTGGGCCAGATTAGCTGTGTCTGAGTCACTTCCCCTGCCGGGGCCAGCTCTCTCTGGCTTTCCCCCAAGTTACCGGGGACTCCCAGGATCAGGAAGGTACCAGAAAAACCAGGGAGCTGGCCCAGAGATCCTGGTGACACCGCTGACCGTGGCGAGCCCTACCTTCTCGAGCAGCAGCCCACTGAGCGGTGGCACGGGACGCTTTTGCCGGGTGTTAGAGCTGGACCCCGCCAGCACGTATCCCCAGACAGACGCTGTGATCTTGGCAGTCCCAGAGCCCCTGCCAGCCAACTGTAGGTGCCGCAGGGCAGGCAGGACAGCGCGGGGACTGCAGCGGCTTAGGGAGTCCCACGGCGAGCGCCGGGTTACCCCAGGCAAAGCAGAGCTCTAGTGAGGCAAACTATCCGGTCCCACGGGGCGTGGCCTGAAAGGGCGTGTCCTGCAGGGCGGGGCGGG